GCCGGAAGCCATCATCCTCAGTAAACTAACACAGGAAAAGAAAACCAAACACCATATGTTCTCACTCATAAGTGGAAGACGCATATTGAGAACACATGGACACAGAGAGAGAAATAATACACACCAGGGCCTGTTGTGGGGCTGAAGGGAGGGAACTTAGAGGGCAGGTCAATAGGTGCAGCAAACCACCATGGCGCATGTATACCTACGTATGAAACCTGCACGTCCTGCACATGGGTCCCATTGTTGTTGTTTTTTTTTTTTAAGAAGAAATATTAAAAAAAAAAAAGACAGTACAAACCTGCATGTTCGGCACATGAAACCCTTTTTTTTTTTTTTTTTTTAGTAGAAATAAAAGAAAAAAAGACTTAGTACAAAGCTACAAAGCTACAGTAACTAGGACAGTGCAGTACTGGCATAATCACTGGCAGATAATTAAGACCCAGACATCTATGGTCAACTGATTTCCATCAAGAGTGCCAAGATCATTCAATAGGAAAAGGATTTGTTTAACAGTCTCTTAAACAAATGGCACAGGGACAACTGGATAGCCACAAGCAAAGAATCAATTTATACCTTTTTCTCATGCCATGTAAAAAAATTATCTCAAAATGGATCAAATATCTAAATATACATGCTAAAACTATAAACTCTTAGAAGAAAACATAAGGGTAAATCTTCATGACCTTGGGTTTAGCATAAGGTTTTAAGATATGATCCCAAAAGTGTAAGTAAGAAAAGAAAAATCAATAATCAGAATTCACCAAAATTTAAAACTTATTCTTCAAAGAGCATTATTAAGAAAGTTAAAACAGGGCCAGGCATAGTGGCTCATGCATGTAATCCTAGCACTCTGGGAGGCCAAGGTGGGTGGATTGCTTGAGTCCAGCCTGGACAACATAGCAAGATCGTGTCTCATTAAAAAAATAAAATTAAAAAAAAAAGAAAGTGAAAATAACCCTTAGGATGGAGAAAATATTTGCAAACCGCATATCTGATAAGGGACTTGTACCTAGAATATATAAAAACACATCAGTAGTGAAAGGAAGGAAGGAAGGGAGGGAAGGAGGGATGAAAGGGAGGGAAGATGGGAGGGAAGGAAGGAAGGGAGGGAGGGAGGGAGGGAGGGAGGGAGGGAAGAACCCAATTAAAAACTGGGCAAAGGATTTCAATGGACATTTCTTTAAACAAGATATACAAATGGTAAATAAGCACATGAAAATATGCTCAACATCATTAGTCATCAGGTAAATGCAAATCAAACATATGAGATAGCATTTCACACCCACTAGAATGGCCGTAATCAGAAGGACAAATGTTGACAGGGCCATAGAAAAATCAGAACCCTCTTATGCTGCTGGTGATGATGTAAAATGGTACAGACACTCTGGAAAACAGTCTGGCAGTTCTTCAAAAAGTTAAATATAGAATTACTACTTGACCCAACAGTTCTACTCCTAGATACTTATCTAAGAGAAATGAAAATACATGTCTACACAAAACCTTACACACAAATGTTCATAGCAGCATTATTCATTATGGCTAAAAGGTGGAAACAAACCAAATGTCTATGAATTGATGAATGGATAAGTAAAATATGGTATAGTCACACAATGGAATATTATTTGTCCATAAAAAAAATAAGGTACTGATACATGCTACAACATGGATGAACCTTAAAAATATTATACTGAAATGTTTAAAGTAAAAGAAACCAGCCATAAAAGCCCACATTACATGATTCCATGTATATGACATGCCCAGAATAGGCCAATCTATAGATATAAAAGCAGGGGAATAGGAGAGTTGGGGTGATAGCCGATGGATATGAGGTTTCTTTTTGAGGTCATAAAAATGTTCTACAAGTTGACTGTGGTGATTGTTGTACACTTCAAATGGATGAATTATATGGTGTGTCAATTATTTCTTAAGGAAGCTATTACCCCCCCAAAAAATCACAATAAATGTAAATGGACCAAATTTTTCAATTAAAACACAAAAGTGATGAGCCGCTAACATGGCTCTGCATGACACAGACAGGGCTGGGCTGGGGAAAGTGGCTAAGACTCTCTTTCGTATCTGCCCAGCTTTCTTATCACTCCAACTCTCAATCTCAGAAACAGCAGGCCAGAAGGACTGTCATTTCTCTACTCTTATGCTCACTCCTTCTGGAGACCTGAGTGAGGTCCACCTGCCACAAAATGAAGACACTCAGACTCAAGTGGAATGAATCCATCTCCAAGGGGTCACTTCTGCCTAATAAATAAATGTCCCCCAAAGAGTTCAGGTCTCTAAAGGGGCCCACTGAAGGAATGACTGGTAACAGGAACTATCGGGAAATGGGCCACTCCTCAAGCAAATCCAGCTACTGAATTGGTGCAATCAGCACAAGGGAGCTGGAGGTAGAAATGATACAGACAGTTCTCAGCACTTTCTGGTGGCGGGCCATGGAAATATACAGTCAGTCACAGTACTTAGAGTTTGCTTAGATGTTAAGCACAGACTCTGGAGTTTGAATCTGGGCTTACAGTTTACTAGCTGGGTAACCTTTGGAAATTAGATCCCACTGTGCCTCAGTTTCCTCACCCAAAAAATGGAGAAATAAGTTTCATGTAAGGCTTGAAACTGTGCCTGGCACATGAAAAGAGTTCTAGAAATACTGATTGTTATTATTTGTTATTATTACGGTTTCATAACACTAAGCTTATTTGACCTTATCATAACCCATGAGAGGGATGGGGATTGCTAATCTCCTTTACAGATGAGAAAACTGAGGTTCAGAGAGAGTAAGTGACTAGCCCAAGGCTCCATGTGTGGCTGCAGAGGGCCAGCACTGGAGGGCAGCACTCCTGGTACCAGCCATCCTGCAGCTTTACCACACCCTGAACAGCATCTGGTGACCCAGATTATGATTTCTACTCTGCCAATCACCAGCTACCTGACCTTAGGCAAGTCACTTCGGTAACAACCGGCTTTTTCCATCTGTAAAATGAGAGGTGAGCGATGTAGGTGAATACTAAGAACCCTTGCTTAGCTAACATTCTGCGATTGCAAGATGAGCGCAAGTGAACTGGATGTGATTGGTCACAGAACAATGAGCAACTTGGAGAGTGGGAAGAGAATGTTTTTCTAGAACCATGTGTTCGAAATTAGGAGTCCTCAGAGGGGCTGCAGGAAGGTGAGAGTTCCCACAAGTGCCATATTTGAGGGTTGGGGTAGTGCCACCTGGAGAGGAAAGGAAAAGGAGAACTCAGAAGAAGATAAAGCTGGGAACAGCGGGGTCCTGTCTGCGCTGGTGAGAAAGCACCAAGTGAGTCAGCTGTGACTCTCTCTGTCTGTGCCCCAGGGCTCTGGGTGTGGTGAAGGAAACCGTCTGAGCAGCGGGCAGGAGGGGCTGAGCTCAGGGTGAAGGCTGGCAGCAGGGCGGGTCAATGGAAAATACCCATCTGAACTGCCACATGTCCTGACTGGATACAGGCTTTAACAGGGTCAGTCTCAAAGAAGCCAGTGTCCACGGAACAAACTCTGGGTGAGGTGTGAGGATAAAAGCAGATGGCAGTAGGTCGGATAAAAAGAAAAATTAAATTACAGTCTAGAAAGCAGACTGTATTGAACCCATCAACAGCAAATAACAAAATACTTTTTTAATTTTAATTTCTGCAGGAATTTAAATTGCTCCTTACGCGCCCGTTTTTCTATTAACGAGGTTTGGGGGTTCGTCAAGTTCCTTGACTGAATGGCTGATGGAACGAATAAATACTGAATCCCAGGTGGGAAGTTAGAAGAGGCTTCGATGGGGAAGGGTCTTGAAGGACCGGAGCTCTGGGCAGAAAGATAGAGCTGGGTGCGAGGAGAAGGGGGCGTTCTCGGAAAATGCCAAAGGGCCCAATCCCAGAAATAACAGCGAGTGCTGGGACAGGCGCCACAAAGGGCGCAACGGGGTGGGCGTGGGAAAGACAGGACTCAGGCTCCAGGTGGGAAGCTAGCGGAATTCGCCGGCCCCAACGCCCTAGCGGGCGGGAGTGGGGGGTGGACTCTTGGGCTCCTCCCATGTCCCTGCCTCCAGTCCCAGCGCGGACTCCAGGTGTCGACCCCAACCACGGCTTAGAGGCTACGGAACCCCGAGTCTCCGAGCCTCCGCCCCGTCTCCCCCATTACAAAATACAAAAGGGACTAGAAATGAATCAACACAGTCTGGGCCACAGAAGGACACCGAGCTCCGCGGAGCCTAGCGCTCCGCTCGGACCGGCCCCGGGCAGAGCCCGCTCAGCCCCAGCTCCTCAGGACCCGCCCGCGCTCCACTCCCGGGCCCCGGCGGCGACCACTGGGCGCCCGCCGCCCCTCCCCAAGTCTCCTCCTCCGGGACCTCCGCCCGGATCCCCTACCAGCCGTGCCATTCCTGGTTTCCCTTCGAGGCGCCTCCTCCCCAGGTTCCCCAACCAGGCAACCCCTGCCTGAGTCCCTCCCCGTGACCCGTCCCTGGAGACCCAGCCTGCAGCCTCTCCCCGGCTACCACTCCCCGAAACCCCATCCCCGACTCCCCTCCCCGCCACCTCCTCTCCAGGGACCACTGCTCGGGTCCCTCCAGGGGACCCCTCCCGGCTGCCACCACCCGAGACACCCATTCCCGGCGCCTCTTCCCCGCCGTTCCTTTCGGACCGCGTTCCTCAGCTCCCTCTGCCTGCTGCCCCTCTCCGGGGTCCCCTTCCCGGAGACCCCTCCCCAACGCCCCCACCCAGCTCCGCGTTCCTGCCTCCACAACCCCGGATCGCCTTCCGGGCGTCCTCTCCTCAGCCCCCCTTCCCGGGTCCCTTAACAGGACAACCCCAGTCCGGGTCTCCCCAGCCCCCCGCCGCGGCGCCCCAGGCCCTGGGAGCCCTGCCCACCTCTCCTCCCCCGGACCCGCCGACTCCGCGCCCCTCCTTGGCGCCCTCCCGCCGGTGCCATCCGCCCTCCCGGCAGCAGCCCCAGGCAGCTCCCTCCCGGGGGGCGCGCGCTACCTGGATCTCGTGGATGCGGCTGAAGCCGTCCCTGCAGAAGAACTCCGCCAAGTTGGCGAGGGTCCGCGGCCCCGGCATGGCGGCGAGACTCCGGGGACCCTCGGCCTGGCCCCCGGCCGGCTGCGCTCCCGGCCGCCCCGCGCCATTGTCCTCCGCCCGCGCCCCGGCCGGGAGCCGTGCGCCCGAGGGTTGGGGCCGCCGCGGGGCCCCACCACCCAGGAGCCCACCCTGCTCGGGCACCGGTCGCAGCCAGGCTCTCAGGATCCGCGCCAGGAGGGCCATGGCGTTCGTCTGCGTCGGCTTGCCTGAGCAACTTTGTTTGGGGGCTGCCCTTTGGGTTGCTGTTTCCTCCGTCTTAACTTGTCGGAGCAGCGCTCCTCCGAACTCCTGCCGCCTGGGCATCAGTTTACACAGACCCTTATTAAAGGCTCCCTCCCCGGGGGCTGGGAAAAGACTGTGATTAGACTGCAGGAGAATGAGGCTATTATTATTTCTTCACATCATATTAATTCACACTTAAGCGTTCCTTGAAACCACCAAGTTTTAAGGCCAACCACTCTTCCAACCGTAGCCAAAAAAAAGTCTACTGGAATTTCTAAAATCATTTCCGTCCTTCGAAATGACTACGGAAGGTGTACTAAAGATATCTTTGGTCTTTCTTGCATTTTAGAAACAGGTCTTTATGATTTCAACTCAGATTATTGTAACTCAGGTTCAAAGGTGGGGGCGGAAGAAAAACGTGAGACGATTTTGCTGGTAGATCCTACTGTTGTAAAATGACCACATTATTATCTTGCCTCGGGCTTTCATAAAGACAATCAGGTTCAATTAGGATGGCTTTCCCCTGGCTCATTGCTTTTATTCCACACACCACTGGAAGCGGTGAGAACCGGGTGGGGGTGAGCGACTTTGAGCGTGGGGCGTTTGTCTGGTGCCTCACAAGGACGGGTCCTGTTGCACAAGGCTTGGAGACGAGAACCCACCTTCATGCAGAGGCGAGGAGAGGAGTCCACACCTAGATTCAGAGCCTAGTGTCGGGCAGCACAAAGAAGCGGCCAGCACAGGGGGGGACTGAGCGTGGGAAAGGCGAGAGGTGTGCCACGTGGTTTCAAGGAAGGGAACTTTACTTTTCCTAGTCAATTGTTCAATGGCTTACTGAGCTACGTTATTTCAAGATTTCATACAGTTTGTACTCATGCATCTAAAGGTAAAAAAATAAGACTTTTTTAAGTCTCCAAAGTACTGTTACTAAGCTTTTTTTTTTTTTTTTTTTTTTTTTAGACCAGAGAGGGAGGCAGAGGGCGGTAGCTCACACCTGTAATCCCAGCACTTTGGGAGGCTGAGGCAGGCAGATCACTTGAGGTCAGGAGATCGAGACCAGCCAGGCCAACATGGTGAAACCCCGTCTCTACTAAAAATACAAAAAGTAGCTGGGCAGTAGTGGTAAATGCCTGTAATCCCAGCTACCCGAGAGGCTGAGGCAGGAGAATCGCTTGAACCCAGGAAGTGGAGGATGCAGTGAGCTGATCCTGCCATTGCACTTCAGCCTGGGGAACAGCAAGACTCCATCTCCAAAAACAAAAACAAAACAAAACAAAAAAACAAGCAGAGAGGGCTCTGGCAGTGTTGCCCAGGCTGGAGTGTGGTGGCTATTCACAGACACTACCACTGGGCACTCCACCTTCCAACTCCCGGACTCAAGCCGTCTCCCTCCTCCGCCTCCCCAGGTGCTGGGAGTACAGGCACATGCCACCACGCCCAGATAAAAGTATTTTATTTTATTTTATTTTATTTTATTTTTTAGACACTGGGTTTCACTATGTTGCTCAGGCTGCCCTTGAACTCCTGGGCTCAAGCGATCCTCCCCCTGAGTAACTGGCACCATAGGTGCAGGCCACTGCACTCAGCTAAATATTTTATTTTTAATGAATAGTTTATACCCTTACAACTCTGTGAAATCTACATTGTATTTGAATAATTGAAGTATCATGTAGGTGAAGCAAAGAAGGCTATAGTTATTCAACTTACAGAATGTGATTAATGATGCCAGGTGTGGTGGCTCACACCTGTAATCCCAGTAATCTTGGAGGCCAAAGCAGGAGGACTGCTTCAGCCCGGGAGTTCAAGACCATCCTGGCAACATAGCAAGACCCAGATACTAAAAATTTAGCTGGCCGTGGTGGTGTGTGCCTGTAGTCCGAGGCAGAAGGACTGCTTGAGCCCCAGAAAGCCAAGACTTCAGTGAGCCATTATTATGCCACTGTACTCCAGCCTGGGCAACAGAGCAAGACCCTATCTCTAAAAAAAAAGAAAAGAATTTGATTGATAAGTACTGCAGCACCTTTTATTTATAAGGCATGATAGCTGCAAAGTACTCAGAGTAAGACCTTGAAACTGCCTTTAGGAACCCACGTAACCTATTTGAGGAATAAAACAGGTACACAAATACAAGCCAGGTTACTCTGTCACAAAACTGGTACTGAATAAGTTTGGAATTTGTGGCAATAAGCGATCACATCTAGTTATAGGGTAGGAAGGAGCAGTGCAAAAGAAAGGCCTCCTGAAGGAAGTAGCATTCAGGCAGGAATCGAGGAAAGGACCCCTTTAGCCAACAAGTGCAACGTGGCTAGCCAACAGAGGATGAAGAATGGCACCATGGACTTGCTCTAGGAGAGCCTTTTGAAGTTTTGCAGGGAGTTACTGGTACTCAAGAGTCATTAAAGGAACACATATGTAGAAGTCAATTCAGTCCATTCTGGATGTGAAACTGCTCAATGTAGATAAAAAATGATTTATGGTTGTTAAACAATCATATATTAAATTGTTCAATATAGATAAACAATGATTTTAGAGGCAGCTGGTTCTCTATGAAGGCTAATTAAGGAAAACACTGAAATAAGGAAAAGATGAAAGAGGAGAAGGAAGAATACAGAGAAAGACAGGGAGAAGAAAGATTTAAACATACATGGAGACAGGGTTCCCTGCAACTCCCCTGCTCTCCTGCCTCTTAGATGTCATCTCTGCTGTTGTCTAAAGCTAGTTTCCATAATTATAAAAATAAACAAAGATACAGTTTCCGAAATTTGCCTTGAGCTCTAATGATGTTAAGTGGAAGGCTATTTTTTTTATTATTATACTTTAAGTTCTGGGATATATGTGCCGAACGTGCATGTTTGTTACACAGGTATACATGTGCCATGGTGGTTTGCTGCACCCATCAACCCATCATGTAGGTTTTAAGCCCCACATGCATTAGGTATTTCTCCTAATACTCTCCCCTCCCCTTGCCCCCCACCTGCTGACAGGCCCCGGTGCATAATGTTCCCCTCCCTGCATCCATGCATTCTCATTGTTCAACTCTCATGAATGAGAACATGCAGTGTTTGGTTTTCTGTTCCTGTGTTAGTTTGCTGAGAATGATAGTTTCCAGCTTCATCCATGTTCCTGTAAAGGACATGAACTCATCCTTTTTTATGGCTGCATAGTATTCCATGGTGTATATGTGCCATATTTTCTTTATCCAATCTATCATTGATGGGCATTTGGGTTGATTCAAACACGTTCATGAACAAATTTCTGTTTGAGTTAGCAAAATAAAGAAATCCTGTTCCAGTACCAAGAGAAATAAACCACAAAACACTTTGCCGAATGGAAACTTGTTGTGCAATGATAAAGCATGACTTTAACTTTAGCCAAATTACTTCCCAGGAGTTAAACTAATTTGTGATCTCACTGTCCACTGAAAAAAAACTGTTCTTAGTCTGTTCGAATCATTAGAACATAGACTGAGTGACTTGTACACTTGTAAATAGTGCTGCAATAAACATATGTGTACATGTGTCTTTATAGTAGAAGGGTTTATAATCCTTTAAGCCAAAGGCTATTTTAGGGTCTCAGTACATTGGTATAAATGTTCAGTCTGAAACTGCAATAGAGCAGTATGCTGCTTTCTTATTACTGTTTTGTAGGTAACTATTGGTGGAAAACATATATGAACCCAGAAATAGAATAAATCAGCCTGATTGGAAGAATATATTACATATATATATGTAATGTTACTTCAGTCTCTGAGTTTTCTGTAAAAATATTGCCTTTATGATAAAAAATTATTTAAAATAAAAGTAAATGATTGTCATAGTTGTGAGGAATTCAACGCAGGGGCGGGGGATAAAGGATGGAATGTTGTAAGAAATCTTAGGGCCGGGAGCGGTGGCTCACAACTGTAATCCTAGCACTTTGGGAGGCCGAGGTGGGTGGATCACCTGAGGTCAGGAGTTCAAGACCAGCTGGGCCATCATGGTGAAACCCCATCGTAGAAAATAAATAAATAAATACATAAATCTTAAATGTAAGTTTAGAAAAACTGAAAAAATACTTTTCCAAAATAGGAAAACACTATTCATTTGTTTGTTCCTTTCCCTTCCAGTGAGCAAGAAAAACAGAAGTGAGGTTCCAACAGGAGGGCACCACTTGTCCCTGTCTGAACTGAAACTGGGAGATTCTGCACAGATGTATTCCTTCAAGAAAACCAGTCTGTTGGCAGTAATAGAGAAGCATGAGCTGCTCCCAACAGCAGCCAGGGACAGCAGCAAAATAGGAAAACGGGTTGCCCTCTAAAAGGTAAATAAACTCCATACACAATAAACTATCATCTGTGGAAGTAAAACGGAGAGACAGCGTTTAACACCACCCGGAACTCCAAGCCAGATGACCACGGATACACTTCTAGCATGCAGGATGGAGATGTCAGGGCTGGTAGGTAAGCAGAGGATAATGAAGGGTGTATATCCCTGGAATAGAACAGGGATAGTCAAACTGGAGCTCAGAAAAGGGAGCTGCTGTACAAGACATTCTAGGAAGCAAGCCTCTGAATTCTGAAACCCCGACCTCCTGGTCACGGTGGGGCAGGGATGATCTTCCAAGCTTCCCTGTGGTCTGCATGAAATTCTCTCAGCCACACCAGCTTCCTGGGCTTCAATCCCAAGCCACTGGCCGGTTTCCACTTAATAATTAATGGGTAAAAAGGAAAAAGAATTAAATGTATGATCTTGTTACTTTCCCCAGAGTTGTCAATAAAAAGGAAGAACAGGGCCAAGCACAGTGGCTCACGCCTGTAATCCCAACATTTTGGGAGGCCGAGGCAGACAGAACATAAGGCCAAGAGTTCAAGACCAGCCTGACCAACATGATGAAATCCCGTCTCTGCTAAAAATTAGCCGGGTGTAGTGGCATGCACCTGTAATCCCAGCTACTCAGGAGGCTGAGGCAGGAGAACTGCTTGA